CCGCCGTAAGCGCCGAAAGTTTGTTCACTCGAGCGCCCGTAGAGTCCACCAGGTGACACAAATTAAAGGTCTTTAAACCAAGTGCTCGTCTCGGTGTACGTTTTAACTTCTACACGAACCTAGTGTTTCATAGATGGAATCAGCTACCACCTCACCTGATGGATTGTGCGATTGCAGTCGATTTCAAGAGGCAGTTAGACAGGGTTTGGACCCAATTATACCCAGAGGTAGTATAGAAGCAGGGTCTGAGATTGTTTAGGGTTGACATGCTATTTGTTTTCCAATTAATCTCCCTTACAGATATCGTACCGGAACCAGTTTCCTGCCGCAAAACAGTTGCAAGACAGCGAATGAAACGATTTTTGAATCTTTGGGAGAAGAAACCTTCCTACCGAAGTAAGAATCTGGACACTTGGTTGGCGAAAGCCTTTTCTGTCCTGTACAACCTGACCTGACCTGACCCGACCAACAACAAAGGTCTCTCGCCGACACGGCGAGAAGTTAAGTCTCTCTTTCTCTCTGTTTACAGATATAAGGAGAAACCGATCAATCGCAGAGGTGGACGCACACTCGAGGGCATACCACCGAAGGAATTATGGACGCGTGATTGGCCTGTGGCCACTATCAGTCCTGTGCAACCTGACCTGACCTGCAAGCTGACCTTCAAGGTCGATAAAGGTCCGTGCCGCGGCGCATCATTCGGTTTTCGCGTCGGACATGAAGCTCCAAATTGAATGTTTATTTGTTGAACTCTAGATTTTAGTTACACAATGAGCGTCGCTCAGGTTGCTTCTAATCGCGAATTTTCAAACCTTTCGAACAACTTGTTATCCGAGTTAAAGGTGTGTAAATTTGCGCTTTAATCGTAATTCTTTTCAGACCAGTTACCCTATTTGGGAGGACCTCATTACAAAAAGTGGAAAGTTCCACTCTGCCTTGAAGTAAAATTGGTTAAATTTAACTTATTTCTCACAGATTAACTATTCAAAGTTCGGCTGTTTTCCTGGATGCGGTCCAGAAAGTCGCCGATCTCGCCACGAGGACCTACGGCGGCAGCAGAGAAATTGGTGCCTGCCTAACGAGGTTGTGTCTGAGACAAAAACGACTGGAAACTAAATTGAAAACAATGAACAAGTGCGTACACTATATACACTATATATAGTGTGCGTTTGACAGTGTGCGTTTGACTTTACGCACCTTATTAGTGAGGTTTCGACTAGGAGTGGCTCAAACTTCAATGAATGGGAGCTGCTTGCATTATCAGATATTTTAAGTTTTTTTCATACAATAGTGCTTTTACTTCATTTACCTAAGGTTTTGGTCCTGATTGATTTTCGCAGCGTCATTCCGTGTCAATTTTGCACAATGAGCGCTAGACCCTGAAGTTTGTGCTTTACTTTGATGGAAGATAGAGATGTTAATAAGATGTCTTAAATGTTCGAAAAAACAGTTGGAATTGTAGAAGGTGACTACTCAAGACAGTGTCTACGTTTGGGTTATCATCCAAACACCACTTAATGGCGCTACTTAGTGCGCACGGGTGTTAATGTCAGGATCGTTTCTTAATGCGGTTTTGGGCATCTGTCTATGCACTTCCACTTCGGTGGATACACATCAGTCATGTGAAGGTACTGAGGAAAACTTCCTTAGCAAAAGGTACTTTTTTATTACACACCCGAGTGTGATGAACAGCACACGGGGCGAACCCCATAGTCACGAGGATCTGCTATTTAGTGATCGAAACCGGCAACCTGAGCCCCTGAACTTGGAGTGACAAACCACATGAGGCCCCGATAGGTTAGGCATGGACGCTTGGTCATTCGGGAGCATTTCTATTGGTTTCAGGACAAATGGCGTTTCAAAGTGTGACTAGGGTCTTCAAAATTACGAAGATTTAACATCATCCTTGCACGAAGTAATCGGTATGGCGCTAAATGAGATGGTTACTCCGCGGATTATGACCGCCAATGTATGACAGTATTTTTTGTGATCCCTGTAACTAAACAACCAAATCAATTACGTTGAGATTGCACCTCTATGACCCAACGAGCTACACAGGATAGATCTAATCAGATCTAGAAGGTCGAAGGGTAGATGTAAGTGAAGGATCATTCTCTTGGTCCTCCAAGTAGGGGGTTTGACTCGAATTGGCGTCTCAGTCCGTATAAAAATGCCCGAGTAGTTGATCCAGGTAAATGGGCCTCCACTTTACCCACTGCCTTGTGTTCATTTTCTTGTAAGAACCAAAGGCTTCGGTTGGGAGCCCTAATATTTTTCCTGCTTAGTGACTGGACACCATAGCAGTGTCCGTCCGTAAATCTCCAATAAATACAGATAGCATCGGTCGTTGTTCAGGGTAATCAGGATCGCGCTGCCCATTGCATTGAGCGAGGTGGGTCAAATCTTGCGCGTGCAATGTACTCTTTGGAAATCGATGTCTGTTGCTGATCGGAGACATGAATTCGGGATCATCATCATCATCGTGCAGCAAAATACAGTGCGGCAAGCTTCACTGATCGCTGCCAAACTAGCAATGTATACAAGATAAGTGGTAAAATTTAAGGTGGACAGGGATTGGACCTATTTTGATGGAGGGGTACGAAAGTGAACCTCTATGGTCAACGCAGAGAGTGTACAATCAAACTCTGCACACATACCGTTTCCAGCATTCTGATCCGATAAGAAACGACAACAAGAACGCCACTGCTGTCGGTTCGCTGCCGTATCCTTCAATGTCTCCAACCAACCAGTTGTGGGGTCTTTCGGACCCCAACCTGGAAGGCGATAGACACCTACTACCTAATGGCTTTGTGCATTTCTTCATGCCTCGTTTTTGCGTCATCTGTTGACCTCCACGCGGTTTCCTCCAGGCCGGATTAGCCACGGCGAATAAGGCGCAGTGCAGCAGACGACAACTGGGCATGCGCAATACGGGATCCTAGCAGTAGACGCCATCTTAATGCACTGGGTTTCTCCTCGAATTAGTTCCTTCGCCCATCAGAAGACAATGAAGCCCGCTGCTTCGGTCAGCGAGGTGTAGGGATCGTCCTAGGCGATAAAGCTGAGGCGTCACTGCTAGATAGGTTCCCCGTAAATGGCCGTTTGTGCGCAGTCAAACTTTAGGGTTCAGTTAATATTCGGAAGGACAACAACACCGACAGGTACTTATTCATTATTTCCGCATATGCATCAACCAACTGCAGTCCCATTTCACAAAGGGACGAACTTTACGACAAACCCGCCAAACTGCTTCGGTTGAGCCGCAGCTCTGACGTAGTGCTGACAGCTGGTTTCAATGCGCAGGTTGGAAAACAATGCATCCGATGCCTGTCTAAAGTGTGCTTCGCTCTGCCCGCCCAGCAAACCGACAACGGTGAATCACTGCTGCAGTTCTGCGCAAATCACCGGCTCTTAGCTAGCACCAACTCGTCGGACGGACATGGTGTTCCAGTTCAGCAGGTTAGTTGATCCAGATTGCCCATATAGCCGTAAGCTGCGGTTGGTGTGGCTCAGTGCCAGGTTGCAGGTCCTATTAATTATGCTTGAGTTCCGATGCTCTTCACGCTTCGATTCATCGGTGATCGTCAAAAATCGCCTCATCAGTTAGCTCATTATTGTCTGTGATATCCATCTGTTCGCTCACGTCCTGAGGAGGAGCTTGTACAAGAGCTAGGAGCACCGTAAGGTGGGTGGAGATAATCACCACTAGGCGTGCAATGCATTCAGCAGCAAACCTTGCTCATGGGTCCGAGCCGGAAGTTTCTTCGAAGACACTGGATCTCTCAGGAATCAGTAATCGTAATGTAATAAAAGCGAAAGATCCAAGATCAACATAGGAACCGGCGGTGTCTGCAACGACAGCTCAGGAAAAACCTTCAGAAAGGTCACGAAAACTGATGGACCAAATTCGCCAGTGAAATGCAGGTAGCTTCTGTATTAGGAAATATTGATAGACTGTTTCACCTAATGCGCAGCACTGAAGTTAGTCGCATACCGGTGAATAAAACCATTTTCGATAAATGCGATCAGAGTATCCACCAAAAAGCACGAGTTGATCGCTGGGCAGAGTATTTTTTGGTTAACATATAGGTTGGTCTAGTACTGCTGTGGTTATTCAGGTGATTGCAGCGGAACCCCCATGGTTGTAACATATGAGCCTCCAACAGAAGTAGAAGTACGAAGCTGTATTCAATCTTTAAAGAACGGGAAGGCAGCGGAACCTGATGTGCTTCTTCATATTGTTTTCGAATTGGGTGGTGACTCCCTCGTCGACTCGATTACTAGCAGCGTATCCTGAAGTGAATCGTTCATCGTTTCGATCTTCAAGAAGGGATCACGTAGGAACTGCACAAACCACCCCGGGATCAGTTTGGTTCCGGTGATCGTACAAGTGTAACCTTCTGTGGTAGTTCGCCACCTGACACCCTTAAGGGAGATGAATATCCGCGAACAGCAAGCTGGATTCCGACCAGGTCGCGGTTGTATCGACCAAATCTTCACTTTGCGTCAAGTCGAATTGCACCAACGATCGCAGTGTTCCTTGACCTAAAAGGACTCTTAGATTCAGTTGACCGTGAGGCTCTTATGAGTTCGCATCTTCGCAAAGGAATGCCGCAGAAGTATGTAAACCTATTACGATCACTGCACGTGGATCATTTGGGTAGCCTGTTGGTGATCTAAACAAATCGTTCAAAATCGGGAGCGGTGTTTGTCAAGAGTGCCCGATTTCGCCATTCCCGTTGAAGTTCATCATGAATGAAATATTGGAGAACACACTAAGTGGTCTCCAGAATGTTGCTGTTGAATGGGCAGCTGGAGAAAAGCTGTGCGACTTGGAGCACGCTCACGACCTCGTTTGTCTGTTCGAATGTATGGAGGATGCGCAAAGCGCTCTTGACAGACTTTCAAGTTCTGCAATTCCATTCCATGCTTTGCACCTTCAAAGTGCAAAGCGATGCTGCGAGATTAGGTGTCGTCTAGCTCGGCTTTGATGCGTTATGGTCAGGAATTAGTTATATAAGATTGTTTCTCCTACTTAGGTAGTTCCGCGTCAGGTGACGGTAGCACAGTCAAAGAAGTAATCACCCGTATTTCCAAGACACGAACAGCGTACGCAGGACGTGATTTTTTGCTGAAGCTGGAAGGTTGCGTATACTGTACCAGTGTTTTCTGTTTCTACAACCATTTCCCATGTACTTTCATCCGTCGATTCTGGTTGCCGTCTTTTGGCTGCCCTTTCGGACGGACAGCAAGAGAAAGACAGAAGGCAGAGTTGAAGAGGAAATGAAGAATTTCAGTGGACTAAGATTGCGAAGAAATTGAGAAGATACATGAACACCATTGTTTTTGACCCTCAGCCATATTACTCAATGTCTCTAACCACGATCTTCCCGATGTCCCCATCCAGGGTGCCTAACGAGACCTTTATGACCCAGTCTCCTGGTTAGGGTTTTCAAACTCTCTTGCCAGGTCTTAGTTCGACCGCCCTTGGCTTCATTCCACCCACTACCTGCCTCGGCAAATATCGCGCGCATTGGCACCTTATTTGGTGACATGCGTAACACATGTTGACACCGGCTTAGTATTTGGAGCTCGATCACTTGTTCTAGTGGACGACCGCGATTACCTAAAGTTCTGCTCCTAGCCTCTCCACCAGACTCGTGCAATGCTATGTCAACAGCGGTGTTCAAACACCGACAGTCTATCTTTATCGTGTTTTCTTAATGGCCAAGTCTGTGCACCGTATAGCAGAACAAGCCGAACTCCCGCAGCATATACTCGACCCTTCACGGACAGCCGGACGTTGCGACGGCGCGATAGATAGAGTCTAGCTTTTGTATGCGAGCTGACACTTCATCTGTGATGCGTCCACCTGGGGACATATGGCTGCCCACTTACTGTATTACTTCCCCATTTAGAGTAATGCTAGGTGCTGGACCAACCCAGTCTTCTAGTAGCACTTTCCACTTTGAAGGTGCAAAATGCATACAAAACATGACTACAGTAGCACTCAATCTATCCAGAAAAGCTTGCAACTTACCTGGATCTTCACTTAGCAGCACTATGTGGTCTGCATACTCCAGATCAGATAGTCCATCATCTGGAAGCAAATCGATGCCGCTGTTCTAGTATGAGGATAAGGCTGTTTCCATAATGAAACCTATACGGAAGTTAAGTATAAATGGAGAGAGAGAGCAACCTTGACAACCACCACTTACCGTGTTGAACTCGAGCAACAAAGTGCCGTGAGCTCGGATTCGACTTCGGCTATTAGTATAAACGGATCGTCATATTGAAAGTAACTTCTCGGGCACACTTCAGGCAAAGGCAGTGCCAGAGTTCAGAGTGGTTGACTGAGTCGAAAGCCGCTTTCAGATATAGGAAGACAGAGATGGTGGGTCTACAACAAGATTTTCGGTGATGCAGATTTGGGCGAAGAGTGAAGATGTGTTAGATACAATCTCGACCGGGTCTAAAACCAGCCTGGTTCTCACGCGTGCATCGTTCATGTGCGGCAGACAATCAACGGAGTATGATCCCTGCGAGGAGCTCAGATTTCCTTCATCGTTTTTACAGGAGGATCGGCCACCTTGTAAATCGGTATGGTGACCGATTTGCATCAATCCTTTGGGACTTGTTTGCTCTCGTTTACAGACCCCAGGAGTTTCGTCTGCTCCAAGAATAATGCTGAGCCTCCATCATTAAATGCCGATGGGAACGGCCCATCTAGGCCGGAGGCCCCACGCCTTTTGAGA